GTTGCCTTGAAGGACCTTGTCAACCGACTTGGCTCGGAGAACCTCACCCTCGACCAGTCTCTCGGTGACGCTCCTCCTCAAGCTGGTGTCGACGTCCGATCCAACTACCTCTTCAACACCGGTATTGAGAACGTTGGCGACGCTGACGCGGTTCTTTTGATCGGTACCAACCCCCGACACGAGGCCGCCATCATCAACACTCGATTCCGAAAGAGCTACCTCCACAGCGGTGCTGAGTTTGGTTTGATCGGTGAGAAGTTCGACTCGGTGTTCGAGTACGCCCACGTCGGTACCACTCCCAAAGACGTCGAGGCTTTCCTTTCCGGCAAGGGTTCTGGTGACTTTGCCAAGATCTGGAAGGAGGCTAAGAAGCCCTTGGTCATTGTCGGATCGCACGTTTTGGAGAGCGCCGACGGTTCGGCTGTTCTCAAGGCTGTTTCCAAGCACGTCCTTGACAACGCTAACCGATTCATCACTCCCGAATGGAACGGTTTCAACATCCTCCAGCGAGCTGCTTCCCGAGCTGCCGCCTACGATCTCGGTTTCGCCCCCACTGAGGCTTCCTCGTCTGTCAAGCCCAAGTTTGTCTACCTCCTGAATGCCGACGAGATTGACCCCTCTGCGATCCCCGAGTCCGCCTTTGTCGTCTACCAAGGACACCACGGTGACCTCGGTGCGCAATTCGCCGATGTCTGCTTGCCCGGAACCGCCTACACTGAGAAATCTGCCACCTGGATCAACACCGAGGGGCGAAGTCAACTGGGACGACAGGCTGTTGTTCCTCCCGGAGCTTCGCGAGATGACTGGAAGATCATCCGGTGGGTAGACCTTACTACTTGACAACGAGACATGCTGATAATAGTGCCCTCTCCGAGGTCGTCGGAAGCCCCTTGCCCTACGACGATGTCCACCAGATGCGAGACCGAATGTGGGATGTCTCCCCGACATTGGTCCGATATGACTCCCGTGAAGCCCCGTCCCCAGAGGTCCTCAAGACTGGTCTGACCGCCTTGGCCAACGCCAAGACTGCCGCTGCCTCTTCCAACCCTCTCAAGAAACCCATCTCTGACTTCTACCGAACCGACCCCATCTCCCGAGCATCCGTCACCATGGCTAGCTGCTCAAAGGCTTTCACCAAGAAGGACTATGATATCGCTGCGGTCGATGAGAGCGGAAACGCTCAAGCGAGCTACGCATAGGTCATGGGAGTAGAGTAGGGCAGACGGACCATATACCCTGGACGAGTTATACGGCAGCATATTGTAAACCATGCAGATTATTATCGACACTGATCGCGCTCGGGCGCGTGAACGGAAAAACATCCATCTGCATGCGGTTCACTCATCTGTTGCAATGCCTTCCGGCTCGATCATATAACTCACCCTCGGATCGGTTACTCGTTGGTCTCGAAGCCAGACGCTGACCCCGGGTCAGGCTGAGAACCTGCCAAGGTAACATGCGTCTCCGTCTTCGGCACTGTCAAAGGCGTCTCGAGTTCTGTAGAACTTGTGCGTCGCGCTTTCGAGCTCCAATGTCTGTAGGTACAGCTCTTCCTCGCTCATTGCTGTCCCCTCCTCTTTCTTCCATTCCGAATAGACTTGGTAAGGAATGTATCGGTTCTGAGTGCTGTTTCCCAACGATGCCTCTCGAGCTTTGGTCAACAATGACGCCAACAACGGAAATGATTTCCAAGGTATGTGCGTTCCTGATTCGTCTGAATGGATCAAGCAGTTGAGGCGCAAGAGAGCTTCACTGGCTTTTGGGTACGTGGGCAGGTCTTTGTGGTCGCCTGTCTGGGCACCTTCCCTGGGATAAGCAAACTGGGGAGGAATCGGTTGCCCGCGATCATCCCAGAACTTGGGGTTGGAAGCGACGATGTGGTCCGACAAATCAGCCATGGTTTTGTAGTGAACGAGACGAAGCGGTTCGGCGAAAGCGGTATCCCATTTGCGTGAGACTTCGTGCCAATTGCGGGACACTGTTTCGAGCTGGAACTGATGAAGAGGGTCTCTCCATCCTGCAGTGAATATGGGACGGTACGCATCCTCTATGCAAGGGTGGGCTGTGGCTGTCAGTCCGTGTATGTGGTTGCAGAAGCGTGCACTCACGGGTTTTCCGGGTGGGAACAGGTCGTGACTGACATGGTCTCTGCGGGGGGGCGCCTTGCTGTCAAAGATGCCAATAGCCCAGTCTCCAACCTGGGTGAGGAGCCTTAGCGCCCTGGTGCTAGAAGGTGCCATGATGCTGTGTCGACTCAAGAGTTGGTGAGAATCCGAAAGACTTGCGCTGATACGTATATAGGGTGCTCGACCAGGGTGGAGCGAGGGTGGGGGAAGCCTTGAGCTGGGGCTAAAGGAGGGACCAGTGCTCTGTTTTTAGCACAGGCAAAGATCACGCAGAATCGTTCGATGACCTCAAACGAGGCGGACACAAGGGAGGGACATTCAGGGGTCGACGAGAGGCCGGGTGGTCAAGCCTACGCGTTTGAGAGACGTGTCATCGGGGACAATGGACGGTAGCGCGGTCAGCACGCCTGGGATCGGCGGGCAATGTTCAGCGGTTGTAGGATGTATACCAAGCCAGTCTCTGGCAGTGACCACTGCCTTGTTGTGCGCGGATGCGCCTTTTGCCAGAGCCATGGGTATGGCTCTCATGTGTGTACGTGCATCCTACCCTCGTCATGTGGGATGACGTGTGTGGCAATCTTGTGGGCACGGCATGCCACACCTTCGTTGTCTGCGACTCAGTGTCAGAGTTCGAGGCAGCTCAGCCAGGTCCTCCGGTGACAAGCAGGATACATAGCGTTAGCCGTTGGGAATTGGAGTAGCGTCGAAGGACCATGATGAGTCGATGTAAATGGTTGCACACGTATCATACCCTCTGTTATGGATATAACACCCTTGACCTGTGCCTGTAACTGAACGTCTCAACATCCATATGCATACAGCGGAATCGGGTGTTGCACAAGCCAGGATCAAGCGTGATGCCTCACGTATCAGCATGTGGCCACCCGTTCTCAGCCAAAGTGAGATTCCCGACTGGAGTCGACCCTGCGTCCAGAGATTTGAACATTACCTGCTCCGTCAGACGCTTGCAGCGTTCCCGATTTGGCCGCGGAGCGAGACCAAGACATGTAAGACTCGTTCATCATCTCCAAGGCTTCATTTAGGCGTTCGTCATCATCCGGGAACACGACCTGCTCGGTCAAATCTGGGGTGACTTCCACCTGATTCCACGAGGAGAAATCTGTCGGGGAGATGAAAGGGTCTCCGGGGCGATTGCTAGCCCGCCAGCAATTGAGTCGCAAGAGCATCTTGCGTTCGTCGAACAAGGTGGCGAGTCGGTCGTTGCTCACCGTCCACAGGGATGCCCAATGCTCTTTGCATTCAATCCGGTATCTAAGCATTGTGTCCGCCAAAGTCAGTAGTCTCTTGTAGACATTTTCTCGAGCCTTCTCGGCGGCCGAGACGCCCTCAAAGGCCGTGCCGAGGGACCCGTCGTGCCACTCCCTGATGATCGATTGGATCGTCTTCCGCTGAGTCAAGGAAGTCCAGGGATCCTCGAAAATGTTACTGTACGCCTGTGCGACGCATGCGTGGGCTGTGTCTGTCAGTCACTCCGTATTCACATATAGCTCCGAGGGCTTACGCTTGTCGACGTCCGGGCATCTTACGGCGCGAAGATCTGTTTCTGACATAGGCACATGGAAGCGAAGCAGTCTCTCGACGGCGAATGCTTTATGAAGCTCGGACATGTTGGGTGCGAATGGGCTTGAATGATGAAGACGCAAGAGAGCTACGTCGTGCGTAGACATGGGGTGGCACAGAGGGGGGTTGGGGGGGAGGGGTATGGGCAGCTTGCCCGCCGTGCCATAAAAGGTGGACCATTTCATTACCGCGCGACGAGAAGAAACCGGCTACGGCTACCGTCGATGACGTCTTGAGCACCTCTACGAACAAGGGAAGGTCCTCAGAGATCACTGGGTAACCCATGACGCAAGGGGATTGGGGAGAGACAAAGGTGCGGCGGCCGTGTCATTCGGTGAGCAGTCGAATCCGTGCTATATGAATGGGGGGACGATCTGCTACAATCGATCGAAATACCCCCGCGGCCCGTCGTGCTGCACGAGTGGCATCCGGGAGGAAGGAATTGATCCCATCTCCCGCGTAGGAGGGAAAGGGCGAGGAGGGAGGCTGATATATACAAATGGGCTTGATACCTTCCTAGCGGTATGCTCACCTCGAGTGTCCTGGACCTCGGTGGGGGGAATACTACGTGAGAGAGAAGCAGCATTGCGAAGCTGAATGAGCAACGGTGCGAGAAGAACGCATACATGATTGCACGGACAGCGCCCCAAACATCAATCGATCATTCCTGATCGTATAACGGCTAGTATGCGGCCTTGTCATTCAATCACTTGAGTGCGATCGGCCGAGATCGGAGTTCGATTCTCCGTCAGGAAGCATTTCTTTTGGTTCTCACAACACCTCTTCCTTTTGGGGAATGCGTACTTTTTGCCGCCGCCTACCAGGTCCCTTCCCGGCGTTTCGTGATTAGCCAATCCGGACAGGCCCCTTGGAACAAACTATGTGACAGAGTTTGGCAACTTTCGGGGTGGATCAAACACGACCCGACATGAGCAGAGATGCTGTAGGGCTATATTGTAGTCAGATCCAAGCAAAACAACAAGCACAACATTCTTGATCGTATAACGGTTAGTATGCAGCCTTGTCATGAGACCAGCAATGGTTGAATGCGATCGGCTGAGATCGGAGTTCGATTCTCCGTCAGGAAGCATCACTTTTTGCCGGGTCTTCCCCCCCAGACACTGTCAAGGGGAATTGCATTTTGCCCCCATCGTTCACCTGAATCATAGGCTGTCCACTGGAGAGACACCTGTCCAGCCGCCAAGACGGACGACGAGATTTCCGCTCGCTCATTGGTCAACACTGCGGTAAGGATATATTCCTGTGCAAATTTTTCTAGACATCAATAACAAGTTCTTGATCGTATAACGGTTAGTATGCAGCCTTGTCATTAGACCAGCAATGGTCGAGTGCGATCGGCTGAGATCGGAGTTCGATTCTCCGTCAGGAAGCAATATCTTTTGTTCTTTTGTCTTTTTGGCTTCTTCAGCTGGAGCGCCATATCTACGCGTGTATCTATGGTAGCACGGTGCAGTCTAAGGCTGTCGCGACCTTTTTGTCCTCTCAAGAGACGAGACGACGCCTTGTGGTAACGTGTATAGGTCTCGAGGCGAATGACCACCCCGGATCTGGAAAGCAATTAACTAGTTGACCCGGCTATTGGACAGCCCTCCTCGTAGCCCAAGTAAAGCGAGCGAGTGGATTGGTCAAGCGCATCGAGGGGGAATTTGGCATGTGTCCATTCCTCTCCCTAAGCATGATTGTGAAATCCTGTTCTGGATGGGACTTCTAGACGAGTATCACGAAGCTATGCATCGTGCGAGACTTGCTGGGTTGCATAACGTGCAATGGACGAGCCCCCGTCCCTCTTGATGAGATTTGGACCAATCAAGTGCGGGGGGAATCTAACGATGAGAAATCCCGGATTCATCCGAGCCACCCAGCAAGCCTGGGTCACTGGGCTCGCCAACTTGGACTTCACTCGATCACTCTGACATATCCCCTCGATCACTCGACCTCTCCCCCCTCTCTCGCACCCGTCTACATCAAACACCATGTCGTTCGCTCGTGTCGGCCTCCGCTCCCAGATGGGCGTTCGATCCCTCCACACTTGTACGTCGACCCCCCGTCTGCCGCGAGGCGTTTGTCAGTGGGGACGAGTGGGGATCCGTCTCTTGGCTCTCGCTCCCGCTTTCGTTTGGTCGATGCGATTGGGATGTATGTAGAGGTGGTGCTGATACTCCAGCTCGAGCTCTTGCGATGCGCGCTTCGGCTGTGCGAAGGGACGCGACCGTCTCGGCGAACGAGACGGGAGGATACAAGTACATTCCCGGTGGACGTGAGTTGCAGGCGGATTGCCCGGGGAGGACCTGGAAGGACCGAATGCTGATCTGTCTTTCTTCTGCTTGTTCGCTTCGCCCATCCGATCGATACGTCTCGATGCTGTTCATGTCCCTCGACCGCCCTCGATATTCCTTGACCTTTCCATCCATCCAGCCGTGCTCAAGGGAACTGTCAACGACGCCGCGGAGACTTACCCCCCGCACAAGTCACATGGATCTTACCACTGGACGTTTGAGCGATTGCTCTCGGCAAGTCTCATCCCCGTCATGGGTACCGCGGCCGTCAGCACCGGCAGCGCTCATGTAAGTGATGTGTTTGCGTAATCGTTCTTTAGAACCCCAACGCTGACCTTGCCTTCTCCCTAACCCCCTCGACCGATAAACCGTCCTTCCCCCCTTATACAGCCCATCCTCGATGGTCTCCTCGCCGTCTCCCTCGTCGTGCACTCGCACATTGGGTTCGACTCTATCCTCATCGACTACCTCCACCCCCGAAAATTCGCTCTTCTTGGCCCCCTCGCCAAATGGGTCTTGAGAGCGGTCACCGGTCTCGCCGTCTGGGGATGCTACGAGTTCAACACGAATGATATTGGTGAGTTTGGTCCCTTGCCTCCCAATGTGCGGGGAGATAGTCGCGCAGAGCTGACTGGGCGCAGGATTGACAGAGCTGGTCGCGCGTCTGTGGAAGGCTTAGAGGGGTTGTCAGCAGGTCGTATCGAGTGCATGTATTTCTACAGTTGCAACAAAAAAATGACATGTCGGGAGCTGCGTCGCGCCGTGGTCAATAGTGTCCCACGCCGCGACGCCAGACAGAGACTTTCAGCACCAGACAGAGAGGATTCAGATATCCCCAGACCCAGACGTATACGCACGAGCCGTCGACCAGCGCGACTCATGAGTGTAGGCGGACTAAAGCGCTGTTGAAATCATGCAACCACGGCGCCGTGAAGCACACCTCCCCCTTACCTGGCATGCTTGAATGCTGGTTCATACGATGGACATGATGATGCGGATATAAACAACCATGAGGCGCGAGAATTACAACATGAATCACGACGAAAGACAACCTCAACCCACCCGGTTCAGCCACATGCACTGCCATGTCACCTCGACTCAAACCCTCACTCTCTTGGCCCAATCACCCTGCCCATCGCCGTTCAATTCGCCCAGGGGCTCGCGAGGCGCCCCTCGGTCCAGAACATTCCCCTGTTTCGTTGGAGACCTTGACTCAGCATCCAGAAATCAGTCCCCACTCACCGTTCCTCCGTCGAGATCGATCGCTTCATCCCCCTCGCGCTGGAGAACCCCACCGGGCTCTCCCTCGATATCTCTTCCGACAAGCCGAGCGCCGCAGCACGCGCAGAGTAACTCGTCGCGGCTCTCGCGGCCACCGCGTCAATCCCTCCGGACGGTATCACCGGAGACCCGCTGCGCGGGAAATTTTTCCCCATCGCTGATGATATAGCCTGCGCTCGTGCAGACGATCCCGTGCCTGGCGTGCGCTGCGCATCAGTCAGGCCTTCACACGCAAGACCGACATAAATGTGCTTACTGCTTCGGGGTGTGTAAAAGCGCCTATAGGCTTCTTGGGCACTTCGGGCAACGGTTCCGTACTGCCAGACGATCGATTCAACCCTTTCTCGGGAAGAGACGTGTTGTCGACCTGCTTCGATGCCCCTCCTAATAGAGCCGCCTGACGAGCAGCAGCTCCTGAAGGCTGGTATGGCTTGGCTGGCGCATCGGGCCGATGTCGATGTTGGTACGCAGGAGCCGGGGTCTCTGCTACCCGGGAAGTCTCCGTTTGAGCATCGGGTTGGACGTTTACAGACCTGAAGTCAGGCAAGTGTGATAGATAGTTGGCTTACGTGCTGTTATCTTCGAGGAATTGCAGGCATGATTCGTCAAGGAACTCTGCATCAAAGCTCTCATCCATGAAAACATCCTCAGGCTCGTCGTTGATTGATTTCAACGGCGTGGCGGGTCTACTTTGCTCCGGATGATTGATCGGAGTGACAGGAGGCGGCATGGCAGGTGGTGGATTCGAGGTCATATGGGGTGGAATGGCCGAGGGCCGGGATGGACCCGGTGCGCCAGCCGGCGTGAACTCTGGCCTTCGCTCCAAGTCGGCTTGCTGGAACTTGGCCTGCACGTAAGCTGCATTTTTTCACCGAAGACGAGCTTACAGGGGGCACCTTGATTTTGACAACCTCCTTGGTGTAATCCCTGTCATACAGACAGTTTCCGAGGACATTGCCAAATGTTCGCAAGGCGCGCTTGGTGCCATCAGTCACCGCTTCCTTTTTCGCCTACATGTCAACGTTCAACACAGGAGGTGACATACCTTGTCAAGTGCGGCGCCCTTGCCCTTGATATTGTCTGATTGACCACACCCAACATCTTCATGCCAGCTTCCATCCGCGAGTGTGATACGAATGATGGCGGTCACGTTGCAAGACGATCTCCCTTCCTTGTTGACATCGTGCTGCTGTCAGAACGACGATCCCTGGGCATACGTACAAAGTCGGTGGTGAGAGAGACGATCGAGGAGGACCATCCGTTGAAGCCGAACACTTCATTGGCGAGGTTGATCACTATGATGAGCAAGGATCGTCTGGGGAGCAGTACCTTTCCATCCTTCAATATAGCTGATCGTAAGCTAGAGTTCCCAGAGGTTATCAGGGGGCATCGTAGCTTACCTCAATTTGGGACCCCCTCCCGGTCCCGGCCGTTGCGTCACGTACTCTGGCCCCAACTTCCTGGCCAGTCTTACTTGCAACGCGGCGATCTTCTCCTCTGACCATCGTGAGAAGCCTGCGGCCGAGGCGTTGGATCCTGGGTATGCACCATGTCCCGACATCCAGCTGGCGTCGGGGTCCATGGTCCTGTTGCCAAAGGGGGTGGCAAGGGAGGGGGTGACGGGGTGTGCGGGACGAAAGGGTTGTTCTGGGTACATGGGTAGTTTCTGTCCGTATGATTCGACGAGGTGTTTCGACAGGCTCATGCTACTGCCTTTGACTGCGAGAGGACGGCTGAAAGGTGGGGTGTCGAGAGTGATAGGAGAGGGTGAAGGAGCGAGGGAAGAAGTGGAGACCAAGCTTTGTTATTGATTCTTTACGAGTATTATCAGTCGCGGTCCGATCAACCCAACCGTCCTCTTTGGACCGACGACGGAATCAAATCCACACACACAAACCTCCCCCTTTCGTCACTACTGTCACTCGCTCTCAGCCGCCCATACGCGTCACATTGACTTTTCGCGTCCACCTCGGCCCTCTGGTCTTTGACACCCCAATACACAAGCTACTGCCCTCGCAAACATGGCGACAGAGCTACCAGAGCCAACAGACGATATCGTCAAGCGCCCGACCACCTCTTATTCCTCCCTCCCAGAGCTGTCCAAACCTTTTCTCATCGACCCAGCACAACGATCTTACAAGCACCAATATGCCAACATCTACTTTGTCCGATTAGTAGAGCTCCGGCCTATAGTCGAGAAGCACGCACTCGCGAGATGGTCGCATATCAGGGGTGAGCAAGGCGAATCGGCTGCGTGCCCACCCTGACAATGCAGGAAACCCACCCTTGCTTCCTCGAATCCTCAATCTTCAGCGCTCGCAACTGTGTTATATTGTCGGAACAGTCTACATGGACATGCCACTCAAGCCAAATGTGCTTGAGGATCTCGCCCGGGATGTAGGTCTCTACCTTAGTATCAGGCTGACCTTAGCACTGGATAGCTCCTCCCGCCCCGAGGGCCAAGTTTTACTCGGCGCAAGACGCGGTACATCTGGAGGATGAGAGTGGGCGTGTACGGCTGGTTGGGAATGTCATCCGGCAGGAGAGAAATCGAGAGGGAGGAGGTCTCGTCACTGGCGCGTTCTCACTTCCATCATGCATGTCACAGCTCACCCTCAGGCGTGATCATGGCTGCTCTTGGAATGGAAACCTCTTCAGGGGACTTTGAGGTGATCGACGTGTGTTTTGCCGGCATGCCAGATTTGACCAAACCCGAAGCCGGGCCATCTGGGACAAACGGGACGGCCAAGGGGAAGGAGAAGGCGAAAGATGGGATGGAAGCTGAAGGTGGGTATCGCACCCGACCAGCATTG